ATTGCAACATGCCTTTTGATTTCTTGATGACCTTGGTTGTTAATTGTGGAGCCCAGCAAAATGAAAATTATTGACAATTTCAATCTTTTCTCCATCTATCATGATGTTGGTCCTGTGGTGAGAATATTTGTTTTCTTGATTTTGAAATGTAATTTATATGGAAGACTGTAATCTTTGACCTTCAAGTGTTTTAAGTCCCCCCCATTTTGAGCAAGCAAGGTTGTGTCATCTGCATAAAACACAGGTTGTTGATGAGTTATTTTCTAATCCTGAAACTACATTCTTCATCATTCTCTCTAACTTCTCAACAATTTGCTCTGCAAATAAAGTGAATAGGTGTGAGAAATGATAAAACTCTGACACACACCTTCCCTGATTTTAAATCATGGGGTGTTTGTTCCTTTGTTCTTTTGATTAACAGCTTCTTGGTCTAGGTATATGTTTGCATGAGCATAAGTAAGTGTTCTGGGATTCTCATTCTTCTCAATGTCAGCCATAATTTGTTATGATTCACACGGTCAAATGCCTTTGCATAGACAACAAAACACACACAAATATCTTTATGGTAGTCTCTGCTTTCAGCCAAGATCCATCTGACATCAGCAATGGTATCCCCTATGCCACTGCCTCTTTTCAATCCAGCTTTAATTTCTGGCATTTCCCTGTTGATGTACTATTCCAATCATTTTTTTAAATAATCTTCAGCAGGATTTTACTTGCATGTGATATTAATATTATTCAATACTTTTCACATTCTGTTGGATCACCTTTCTTGGGAATGGTAACAAATATGGATCTCTTCTAGTCAGTGGGACAGGCATCATCTTCCAATTTCTTGGCATAAACTGCCAAGCATGTCCAGGGCTGCCAATGGTTTGTTGAAATGTGTCAGTTGATAGTCCATAAGTTCCTGGGGCCTTTTTTTTTAATACCTTCAGTGAAGACTGAATGGTTTGGTTTCTTCACTATTGTGTGCTGTAGAGTTAGAATTGAGCCATAGCTGACCCTCTAGCAGGTTCCAGAGGCAGTTTATTATACAGGAGGAGATTGCCCATTCATCTCCCATAGAGCAGCTGGTAACATTGAACCAACTGTGTGCCTTCAGGATTGGAGCACAGCTTATGTCACTAGGCCACTACAGCTCCCTAACCCTAACTCTATGGTAATTTCTTCATTATCATTGATTATTGGTTATATGCTTCTTCCTAAAATGTTTCAGTGTTGGCCAATTCTTTTTGGTACAGTGATTGTGTGCATTTTCTTTTTTTATGCTTCCTAAATAAAAATATGTATATATAGATATAGATATAGATTATATAGATATAGATGATATATAGATGATAGAGATATAGATGATATAGAAATAGAAATAGAAATAGAACAAGGGCTGAGTGGGGATGGTTGAATCTAACCTGTATCATCTCCAAAAAGGGGAACTGTCCCCAACAACATCCACACCATAAAACCAATTCTCCTGAAAGCAGACATGCCCTCCGCACTTCAAACTTTTTCTGCTAACTCTAATACCAATCTTACTGCTCTACTGGGTTGAAAATCCATTGCAATAGGTACAGAGTACACAGAAACATTCTCATGTTTATGAGGTTCATTAGGGAAGTTAACAATTTCAGTTGGCAACAGGATACAATTTCTCAGTCAGGACATCTTCTGAATTGTGCACATAGATCTGTCAGACTTCAGTCTCACAGCTTTAGGCCAGTGTTACAAAGCTCTTAGCCCTACCAGTTTTGGCTCTCCTACTCAATCCTCCAACAAACTTGTACAAAGGCTCCTACTTCTGGTTCCATAAAGTTCAATCATTCCGTTCCCAGCCTCATTTCTGTCATGTTTTTCAACTACCAGCCATTCTTGTCCCAAGCTTTTAAATCCAGTCACCCACGGGTAAGGGAAGTACACTAAGCCTTTCTGTACAGAAACATCCACTTGTCCGCACCCTAGTGGCTTCGCTGTCTCCAAGTCCTTGAGTTCAGCCTGATAAAGCAAGATGTGTCGGCACATCTGCCGGCAGAGAGCAGAAATATTCTAGGCAGAACCAGAAAAGGTTATAACTTTCCTTGTAGTCACCAGGAGTTTGAACTGGGGTAGGTGAATGATTACACTATTAGGATCACAAGAAATACATCTTTGCATTTAACTGCAGGATCACCACCATGCCACTACCTTTCCGTCATAAACTAATTTTAAATGCCATTGTCACTTTCCTGAAGGTTTATAAAAATGCCAACTTATTACGGTATATCTAGAGGTAACATATTACCATCTCCACTTGGGGACACGGAGCCTGGTTAAAGAATAACCCTATGTCCCTTGCAGCTGGGATGCTACAGAATCAAGTCTTCTTCTATGTGATGCTTTCGCTAGCACTAGATTGCCTTGTTCCTCAACTGAGGCAAAAGGTGCAATTCAAAATGGAAGCCCGGTGCTCAACAATGGGCAAAGGTGACCTAAGGATTCATGATGTTGCTGTTGTTCATTGTTATGTGCCCTTGAGTCAGAACCAACCCATAGCTGACCCTCTGGCGGGTTTTTAGAGGCAGTTAATCGTACAAGAGTTTGCTCATTTTCCTCCAGGCGAGCAGCTGGTAGATTCGAACCCCGTGCAGCTTCTTTGCATTAGCCCACCAGAGTTCCCTAAGGACTTATGGGCTGTGAATTTACTATTTACAATGATCTCCTTTAGTTCTCACACTTAATATACGTATTATCATAAGACTGATTTAACACATACTGGATCCAAGACCGGAAAAGCATAAGGAACTTTCGAAAAGTGTTATCTTGTGGTTGACTGGCACAGGTCAGTTTCCCTGATCGTGCAAATAAAACTGTTGTGATCCTTGGGTTTGTCAGTTTCCATTCGCTCCCCAAATCCGCTAGCATTATCCATTTTAATCCGGAAGCTCGAGGAAACCTGCCGGGCAGCATAGCAACACGCAACGCCCAATAGCAAAGTAGCAATGGCAGCGCGTCAAGTGCATTGGCCTGAATCGAACCGGATATCCTGCGCGGAAGAAGACACTTCCAGCAAGAGGCGCCAATCCCGGTCCTGCACCTCCACGTGTGGTCTGTTGAGGAGCAGAGGCACCGTGATTCCCTGGGTCGTACTGTCGGGTGCGTGCTCATGCCTTCCCCCAGGTGGTCTCCTCTCGGCTGTGCCCCCGGAGACGGCGCCTCTGCAGCAGTGCCCACTCCCGGCCCCGCTGGCGGCCAGTGCTGCGTCTGCCCTCAGCCCGGGACTGGCAGGCGCCACGGACCAAGCCTTCACTCTTTGTTTGGAGATCCAGGGATAGAGGGAGATGGAGGCTTCAATATTCACATCGTTTTTACACAAATGACTTCTTAATGTGTGTGTTTCATGCCAGCGTGACACTTCCGTAGGCAGCGCCGGCTGCTCAGACAACGCCTGGCATCTGCTCTCCGCCCGCCCACCCTCCGTTGCCTGGCGCTCGCACTCTTCTCAGAACAGCGCGCGCACCACCAGCCGAGACGGCGCGGGGGAATCTGCCCCCGCTCCTGGCGGCTGGCATTCCACAACGCGGAGACTTCCCATTCATAAAAATGCCCATGCACACTGGGTTCCCGCTCTCCCCACCGCTGCATCCTTAGCCCCAGGACAGGCCGCATGGAGGGACCGAGGCTGCGCTCCCGCGCTTGCCTGGGGCTCCTCGCTTTCCTGGGCTCGCCTAGTACCCTCACTCGAGTCTGTGTGGAAGGCTGACAGGGCCCGCAAACGCGCGCCCTTGTCTGCAGTGAAGAGATAAAAACGGCTTGCGGTTCAGTTGGGGAATCGCACCTCGGCCTTTGCAGGCTGTCGGACATCTTGCCATTTGCATTTTTTTTTCCACCCGAGCGTTTGACTAACCATGCTGCCTGTTCCTTTCCAAACCACTGCCTTTTTAGGTCCCAGTCTTTACGGTCTTTTGCTTAGGGTGGGGGTAGAGCAGGAGCGGCCCAGGCGGTGGGAGGAGCAGGGCGGGGCGGGGATTCAAGCTGCAATCTTCGTCCAAATAACGCATCTTCTCTAAGGACGACCCTCCCGCAGAAACACTTGAAATTGCCCCTGGAATGCCCAACAGTGAGCATCGTGAGGCCAAATTCGCTCCGCTGTCGCTTCCTCCCTCCTCCTCCCCAATACTCTGCGCTCTAGAAATTACAACTCGGTGTGTGGCGCGGGGAGGAAGAAGCGACAAGAGGAAGGCGGGGACGGGGTTCCCGGGCCAGCCCGCGCTCGCCCGCCCCTGCTGGCTGCAGCGTCTCGCCGCCAAGGTCAGAGGCGCCACAGGAGCAGCGGCTGCGAACCTGGAAAGCAAGGAACCCCAGTGGCAGGAACAAGCCCGCGCGCAGTGGGCACATGCCCGCAGCATCCGGGAGAGGCCTGGCCGGGGCTGCGCGGAGGTTCGGCGACCGCGGACCTTGCTAGGTAGCCGCGTACGTGCACGCACAGCCCCCGGCCCACCTCCTGCGCGCGGGCGCTGTCCGCTGCCTCCCGGTGCTGAACCCGGCCGGCGGCTGAGACGCGTGTGCACCTGCAGACCCTCCTTCCCGCCGCCCCTTCTTGGCGCGGGTGGGGCGGGCTGAGAAGCTCCGGACGCCGGTTGCCCAGTGGAGTTGAAAAGGGAGGAGAGCAGGCGGCAGCCCGGCTGGTCCAGCTGTGCAGCGGAGAACCGCGCTGCAGCCGCGGGCGGTGCCAGAGCTGATCCCTGCAGAGCACGCGAGGCAGGCCAAGCCAAGGCGGAGAGCAGGCTACCCTGGACTCAGCCTCGGGTGCAAGCCTCAGGGCCAGGATCCCACCGGCAGGTGAGAATCTTGACCTTACGTGCCTCGGGGCGGTGGCCACAGACAGAGAAAGGGGCGTGCCGCAGGCCGGGGCGGGCATGCCTGTGTGATGCCTCGGTCTCCGCGCCTTCGCCGCCGACCACCGCACCGCCGTCCCCCGGGCTCTGGCCGTCCGTACTGCTCCTGTCCCTACCACAGGCGCCGCGATGGAGGAGGAGCTCAAGTGCCCGGTGTGTGGCTCCCTGTTCCGGGAGCCCATCATCCTGCCTTGCTCGCATAACGTCTGCCTGCCCTGTGCTCGCACTATCGCGGTGCAGACCCCCGACCACGAGCAGCACCTGCCGCCACCGCTCGCGCACTCCAGGGGCGCCGCCAACGCGCCCTCCTCGGACTACGACGCGGCGCCAGGGCCTGCGGGAGGCAGCGGGGGCGCGGCTGGCGGCGGGGCGGGCAGCAGCGGGGACCACGCGGACAAACTGAGCTTGTACAGCGAGACAGACAGCGGCTATGGCTCCTACACGCCGAGCCTCAAGTCCCCTAACGGGGTCCGCGTGCTACCCATGGTGCCCGCGCCCCCTGGCTCCTCGGCTGCCGCGGCTCGGGGCGCCGCCTGCTCCTCCCTGTCCTCCTGCTCCTCCAGCTCCATCACCTGCCCGCAGTGCCACCGCAGCGCCTCGCTGGACCACCGCGGCCTGCGGGGCTTCCAGCGCAACCGGCTGCTGGAGGCCATCGTGCAACGCTACCAGCAGGGCCGAGGGCCTGCGCCCGGGGCGGCCTCGGTGGCCATCTGCCAGCTGTGCGACCGCACCCCGCCCGAGCCGGCCGCCACGCTCTGCGAGCAGTGCGACGTGCTGTACTGCGCGGCCTGCCAGCTCAAGTGTCACCCGTCCCGAGGACCCTTCGCCAAGCACCGCCTGGTTTC